AAAGACGGCATTCTTATTTCTGGTGTATAATTTAATCAAACGCTTGTCTTCAGCATTTCAGCCGTGTTGATCACGAAGACAGCTTATACAGTTTCACCTGACTTTTGGTCAAGCGAATCGGTTTAGACGCATGCTTCTGGGGTCACTTTTGGGTAAACGTGATCATGTACTTTAAGAAATCGTCTTATGTGAGAAAATTTCTCAAAACTTGACGTCAGTTACCAATCTCTTTAAAGATACAGTGACAGTTAAAGATGTGTATTTTACTTAAGAGAGATGACTTACGCAGACATCTAATGCTGATTAGCGTGTAGAATAATCTTAAGATATTTCAGTCACGTCAAGATACTGACTTTCCAATGCACTTGCTTTCGTTTATATGCAAAATCCCTATTCAGCAAAAAGTGACTACTCAATGTGTTATGTATTTTCACTTATTTTTGATACCCCTATAGTTTACTAAAAATATCAGTTCATGTATTTAACTGGTAGCGAATTATGTCTTCTTTAAAATTTCTTTTCGCAAAGACATACCTAGTGCCTTGAACGTTTTATAAACGTTTTTTTGTAAACTTCACAAGAACACTATTAAACGGGCCAATATGTAATAACTCGAACGAGTACTTCGTGGCCTTAAGATTGCCTCATTATAAGCTTGTTGAAACTAAAAGACAGCCTATCCATGAGTATATATCTTGAAATATTTGCGATATTTTGGAAAATCATAATTTACAAGGGTAAGGTGGGCCAATGGAAAAAAGTACATGCCATTGACATCTGAATTTTGCAGGTGGTTAAACAGAAGTTCAAACGAAGTCCATAATCTCACTTTGTCCAACAATTTTTTGGATTAAGCTGAGCAATGTAAAGTACGGCACCCCCGCTTATATATTCATTCCTAACCGAAAGCGTCGTCAGAATTTTGTTTTCGTCCATCGTGATACTGTTTTCTAACTGTTCATATATGACCACAATCTCGTGCAACATAAAAAAAATTTTAAAAAAATTTTCGGTTAGGAATGGTTGTTAAATTAGAGTTTTTGTTTCTGTACAGCATAATTACAAGTACTTTCAGTCATGTCAGGCTGCCGCTCTCTGAATGAGCTTCTTTCCGGCCACCTGCTCGCAAATGCTCTTTGGTGTACGCAGGTAGTAGCTAATTATCTTTTAAAATTTTACACTTGAAAAAAAGCGTATCTTTCGGGTTCAAAAGGCCTTATTTTCTCAATAAGTTTAAACCTAACTTCCTGCTATGCACGGTTTTAAAACATCTAGCCGTACATTTTTCATGTAAGGAAAAGTATACATTTGTGCACGTTATTAAGCAGACATTCATAGGGCTCAAACACTTTTATTATGGACGTGGGTCATATTGTTTTAACAATAATGGTATAAAAAATGGTTTAATATGGTGCTTTAGGATTGGGCATTTAACGAATTCAAGGGATCTCATAAATATTAACGTTTATAACCGCAAAATAACCTCGCTTCATGTATAAATGTGTTAGAAGGCTTAATTTGCTACGATGAGAAAAACGTTTTATATGGTTTCCAATTAATCTAATTATTTTTATAAGAGCAATGGGGGACGTCATACTATGCAAGTATGACAAGTAGTATAATAACGCTGATGAAGTAGTAGGTACGAATCGAAAATGCCTTTCAGAATTTCGGTTAGTATGCCATGAAGAAGTATATGTGTGGAATATACGTGAACTTTGCTGATTTCCCTGATTGTGACAATACGTGTTACCTTCATACGTTAGTATGCGTCTATACACAATATCGTATTATCCTATTTTATTCGAATATTATTGATATAGATATCGTGTTACCTTGCATTATCTGCATATTCGTATTTTACTGACATGGACGTAAGGACGAAATCGAAAGTCCATAAAAACTATAAGAATCATTTTTGAGGGAGTAGCTGTCGTCGTGCGTTGGTTCAAATCATTAACTTCCCTAGAACTGCCGGATTGTTGTTTTGACACTTGCGGTCATAACTACTAATTTATGTAGATTAATGCTCAAATAACCACAAGGTAGTGTTTGTATTGGACTTCCGGAACAAAAAATAGCAAGCTATCCCCTCCATGGAATCCTATTGGCGGAGAGCTTTTCCTCAACCAACAACTAAATAACATATATACTCACTGTCTTTTTAAGCAGCGATAGGTCAATAAGAGCATGCGTGATTCAAGCAGGGAGACTTGAAGTCATTAGATAGGGGGAGCTCATTAAGCCTCAAACCATCCTCCGTTCTCAAAATGATTGAGTTGTGTGTCTTTATCGGTCTACTGTTTCACTCGTGCGCTATAAAATACTATTATCTGAAAGGGCAGATCTACTTTATCATAAGCATTCGGATGCAGCTCACCAGTTTTGCTATGATCAGAATGCTAAGGGAGACCATGTTCTAGGTTCTCCATTTAGCCCTGCATATAAGCTAAAACTGACCACCATCCAAACGGTTTTTTTGATATTTTTGCGTCCCTTACTACTTTCCCACTGAATATTTCTGGATTAAACGCTGAGGTCGACCTGATTTTTATAAGCGTTGTTTGTGGCCCTTGTATCCGCACTGTTCCTCAACATGAGCTGTTACCTGCGGGACTCTAAATTAGCTCCTGTAGTGCCAGAACTGTGTCAAACGTTCCTGAGGCTCCTACTGGCTCCTTTGTCGTTTTCAAATTCCATGCGAGAGTTCTGAAATTTGCTTTCAAATTGGGTCGTTGTTTAGGCCCATAACCTCATAGATATGATTAGCCAAAACTGTTTGTCTGTACTTTATGTGAGCGATTTTATGTAACTTGGGCTTACTTTTTCAACTGAAATAATGCGGTCGTAAAAGTAATGAACCCTTATATTTTGCCTTTCAGATTCTCAATTACTTTGACTACTTCTTCACTTCTGTCTTCACTGTGGAAATAACTCTCAAGGTAACCGTTTTTTTTACGCCCCATTGTTGCGAATCCTGAAGCGCCCCCCCCCCCGTTTCAGTCTCATTCGCATAATTCACTAAAAAAAACTCAATTGCCTGGCGAGGCCAGTGGGCGGGGGAGGAGGCGGAGGGGAGACTTGGGATTCACAGAGCTGTGCGAATGTGACTTGCAGTTCGCACTACTCTCACACGTATGGGGCTATTTAGGAATCCACGCTCGAGAAGGAAATCGGTCTCTAGGGGAGGCGAGACTGTGTGAGTTTCAATTAGCCACACAAACGGCCACACAACGGAGCAGTTACTTTCTCAAGCACAGAGCAAGAACAACGTAGCAGGATTGGCAGACGGCTCAATACGAAATACATCTGGTCGGTGGCGAAAAGAATGGCTTTCAAA